AGAGAGAGAGAGAGAGAGAGAGAGAGAGAGAGAGAGAGAGAGAGAGAGAGATCATTAAAGATGCAAGAACAAAACGAAAAAAAACTACATATTGCATGTACTGAATGAAGCATTGTGGTTGAATTGGCACGGTCGAAGTAAATAGCATAAAACACGAAATCGCCCCGCTTTATCAATCAGTAGCGCGAAAAAAAAATCAAAAAAAACCTGAAAAAACCCAAACCTGATTTTTACAAACGATTCGCGGCATAATGAATTCACTGTCAAAAATCAATGCACTCAAACCTAGCCTCAAGTCAAATAACTTCATTCGAATATGTCAATGTTTACTGAAACCGAAAAAAAAACAAACCATATACCTATTTCAATTGGTTTAGAGATGTTAACCGATTGTAATCACGTGTCATTCACGAAATGACCGCTTAAGAAAGTCATCGTATCCGCGAAAAATCCAAACTAGTTTCGTTTCGACTTATTTGAAATGAGTTTCTTGCCTTAGCCACAACGTTAGCCGTTTGTCTTTTTCATCTATCTCTCGTTTGTTTTTTTTTCTCGCTCGCATCATTCGAGGGCACGTCGATGAGTCGAGAGTTTGGAATGGAAAAGAAAAAGTTTTGGGTATTTATTCACTTTTGAGATGGTGAGTGAGAAATAAGAGTGAAAAAAACGGATGTAAGGCATCGCGCATAGTTACTTGGTCATTGACGATGACCGAGCAAACTTGTTGATTCAATTGTGCGTGTATATGTGTGTTAAATTTTATTTCGTTTAGTGAGACAACAGATCATAATAATAAAATGCGCACATTTGTTTCGTCATCGATAAACAAGTTCGAAGCGTGTGTGTTTTTTTTCTTGTTGCTTTCGTCACTTTAAAATCGGTACAGTTGCAGCCGCAGATTTTAATATCCAAAAATATTCCTTCACTACAAACTAGACAATAGTCAGTTGCGATTCCAAGGCGTAAATGTCGAAAAGGCATCCGCAACTAAGTTGAACAGTTCAACTTGAAATTTAGTCTATTTCGAAACTTAAACCAAGTTGAAGCGAAAGAAAGAGAGTGATGAGTGAGTGAGAAAGAGATAGATGGTGAGAGAGTGAAAGAGTGAAAAAAACCGTAGAAAAACCTACAATTGAATGAAATCGAAATTCAAACTTAAGAACGGCGCTTTTGAAGTACAATCGAAAGAAAATCAGAAGTTGTGTATGCGCCACAGCGAAGAGTGCTTGCATTGAACAAACAAGTGACGATTTTCTTCAAAGGGACGACACGTTTTGACGAAGTCTACGGCGAACTCATGAACTATCGAAAAGTCAATACAAAATGATACGAGAGTTCGTGGCGCTGCGAGCGCTCAAATGATGTTTGTACTGAAGTGTCGTCAGCTTGATTTTCTTCAATCCTTCGTACTTGGAATCGAAAGTAAATATCTCTCGCAGTGTCTCTTTGTCTGCGTGCATTTTATGCTTATTTTTTGCCTCAAATATATGTATATACGAGTTTGAGGTGTCCATCTAAGTAACTGGCACTGAAATCAAAAGAGACGAATACACGGTACGGATTTGACCATCGTGGTGGTCACAAGTGTTCATACTCGTGCGGTCGTGTAAGTAAACACAAGAACAAATTACAAAGACGACAACATCTTTGATATACAAACACCAAACGAAGAAGAAGAAAAAATCATCGTACTAGCGAACGTCATCTTCCGAAACATTTCGACCGAGAATGAAAGAAAAAAATAGTTTGATCACATGGTACTGACAGGAATGCACACTATTCGGCAATGGGAATTCTTTGAACGCATTTATGTTCAACAAGTATGAACAGAAAAAGTACAGGAAAACCCCAAGACAAAAATTCGTTTGAAAAGAAACGCGGCGGTAGAAATGCGTTCGGGAATGAATGTGTCGACCGAATCGATGACGAATATTTGAAATTGCACTACGGATGAAAAACAAAACACTTCAACTGATACGCTCATTGTTTGTATATTTGCGCTGGTAGTTATGTTAGTTGTCGATGTCAATGCGAGTGGAATGATTTGCGTGGTGTAATTGTGGACAGTTCTAGCGTGTAGCCAAACAACACAGAAAGAGAGAAGACGAAAGGAAAAACTCACAACTAGAAAACTGAATTGAATTGTGTGTAAGAGCGAGCGAATAGAATCCAAACCAACCGACCGATCGAACGACCGACCAACTAACCAACTCATACCGAACATACACATAGGTATGAAAAGAGCGAACGAAACGTGCGCGCTCAATAGTTTGGAGTGCGCGCGCGACAGACAGCATTTTGCGCTAATTCAAATAATACAAAACGAATAAAAGTCGGCATGGCGATAGCATTTATTAGCCGTTTGTCGCAGGATGATGAACGACACTATCAACGCTTGAATTTTTTTTTTCGTTTTAGCCACGCACTCTCGATTGTTTTGTGCTTCATTGCTTCAAACTAATCAAATTTACGAGTTTCGTTGGTGGTTGCAATCATTTTTTTTTCGAATTTTTTTTCACTCATTTTGGGCCGATTTTTTTTTCTTTCAAGAAAAACATTCATCAAAAGCTATATACATTCGTTTGAAATAAAACGTGGTTCCTTCAAAGTTTTAAATTGCAATTGAAAAACCTCGAAATCGTTGAAGAAAAGTGCACAAACCGTTTTTCGAGCAAATTATAGTTGTTTTTTTTTCATCGGTTTTTGGAATAAGTTCACCAGACTTTTTTTTTTTAATGAAATCAACAGTTGCATTTTGATGATAAATGCTCGATTTGTGTCAAGTGTTTAAGTAACAGTGAAACAAATTTTCGAGTGAAATTTCAACGTTACGTTTCAATAGTGAACTTTATTAGTTTATTTTGGGTATGTTTTGGCATATTTCTCATTTAGAAGGAAGTTTATTCAAGCTCAAACGAATTTGTGTGTCCATGTTTGTTCAATTGTAATGGGGTGAAATACAACTAGAAAATGTCTACAGCGTTTGTAGTAAAGAGACGAATGAGAAAGAAAAAAAACTGATCGATTAATTAAGTGCAGTTCGGTTGCATGGATCTAATATGGCAAAATGATTCGATTCGAATATGATCTAATAAAAAAAAAATTCTTCGAGTATCGGCTCCGATTCCGTTTGCTTTGAAGTGTAGATAACGATGCAAGAAAAAAAAATCCAATTCAAATTGAAAGCGAGAGAGCACGAGCAATGAGTTGCATCAGGCAGAAGCAATGTGGCTGAATTGCAATGAAACCGAATATCACCACAAAGATATTATTGAAAATGGGCCAAAGTGTACTCTCGTCTCGATTGATTTGATCGTTTGCCCTAGTAATGAGCCCGTGCTAATCAAGATAGCTGCTGATGCTGCTCTTTTTTTCTGTGTGTGTGTGTGTTTTTTTTTTTTATCTTGACTTACGCATCTCACAATGCATGCACTCAATTTGATTGGCGTTAAATACAATGCAATACACGACAAATCGATTGAACTCTATACGTCTAATTCGGATAATATGCTTCATGTCATTTAATTCCAGCCATTTGCTCTTCTTCTTCTCTTCTTCATTTTCTGTCGATTCTTACATAGATACAAGATTAATTGATCGGCTCGAATGTGATAATTTCTCTGTAACATGCTCATCTTGGCTTCGTTCCAAAGTAGATCACTATCATTGAGCATTGGGCAAAGATGCGGCGCGGTTTTCAGTGCACATATGAACAGAAGATTTTACAAGAATCTATCGCAAACCACGATTGAGTTGTATTATGGCTCAAGGTCACTTTACGACTAGTCTTCTATGAATGGTGTGCATAATGTCAATTTTTCATGATCAAGAAAATTGCACCATAGCGCGGGCTAACCACATTTTACTATAACTTTGAGGTTCAATCAAAAGTAATGCGATCAAACAGATGCTTGGCTTGATTTTTTGTTGTTCGAGATTCGATATTTGACTTCAATTTTGACCACAATTTGGAATGATTTGGAAGCGTTTATAATAAAAGCTAAAAGCTAAAAATTCCCCCATTTCTTATAGAATCCATAGAGATGATTCTGAACCTAAATTACATTTTAAGCAAGTGTAAAATCCTAATTTGAGTGTCAACGAAACTTGAAGTCTATTATCCCTTGACAAAAAGTCCTCCAAAGAAGCGTATACTATGGTTTTGATTTTCGGTGAACGCTTGAAGTGGGTGTGAGTCTATAGTGCTACCTGTTGCTTCTTCCTTTTATTTACTCTCACTTTATTCACTTTCGCAGGAAGCGAACGAAAATTTCTCGTCGTTTGTTTAACATTTCAACCACCATTTATTCAAATCCAGCATCCGCAATAACAAAAATCAAACATTCAAATGATAGATTCATATTTATGGATAAAAAAACATTTGTCCAGCAAATTGCTAATATTTAATGATATCACGTTTTGAAAATCTCAAAGCGAACAGAGGCAACGAAGAAATAGCCGTTTCATTTGTATGTGACTGCGCTTATAAAATGCCTAAGCAATCAGTTCATATCTGATAATGTTTCATTTAAGTAATTAATTTGGATGTTCTTAGTCGGCATATAAAGACTGTTTTATGATACTCTATTGTTTTAATGTTTCGTCTTGTGCTTTTTACGTTTCGTGCACATCGCTTGATGTGTGACAATTGTGTTTTCAAGTTTAATTTTTTATTGTTCAAACGATGTTGAAACACCTGTAGGTATTATATAGCAAAAAAGACAAGGGGCAATCCATTCAAAAGTAATACATAATACCTGCGAAGTAATACGAATTAATACTAGGTAAAAGTGGTATTACTTTCGATAAAGTAATACTCCTTTTAAAAATAATACTATGGTTTGAAAAAAGTAATACTAAAGTAATACAAGGTAATATTTACATTAGTATTACTTAAAGTAATACTTATACACAGTATTACTTTTGGGTGGTTTGCCCCTCGAAAAAAGACCATTCGTTGTTTCAAATAACAGAATACCTCTTTCAATTGGCCCGTTCATATCATTGCTCTTCCGACTTCCTGAAAGGAATTGTCTCCTCGATGTGCTGCGTCATGAATTTCCCACTCTTACCCACTTTTTGTTATGCAAACCGATTCAATGGTAGTAATTAATACATGATAAAAGGCTATTATTATCATTAGCAGTGAATGATCAATAGATTGAGAAAAAGAAGAACAAATCACAACGAACGAACCATTTTTTTTTTATCCGTAGGCTATACGGTGCTTTTATGGAGTTCAATATCACAATTTATCAATAGCATACAACTTAGCACATAATTTCGAAACAATTTTAACTTTCAAAGCGATATCAACATGAAATAGATTGAGGATAAGAAAGAGAGAGAGAGAGAGAGAGAGAGTGAGTGAGTGGGAGAAAGAGCAAAAGAGACAGCTAACGACGGATAGCAACATTGAGACTTCCAACAAGTGCAAAAATTGAATTGAACACGCAACAAAGTGTGTGCTTTTTTTATCGCCGTTCATGCAGTTGACGAGTGCAGTTGAGTGTAATTGTACTTCGTTGTTCTAATAATGGAAATCATCGAAATATCATTCAACCACACAATCGTGTTTTTTTATGATTTATTCAATCATGTTCCCAATTGCATTCCGGTTTTTAAAAGGACATTTGCAAACACACACACACACATACACGCACATTTCAAATGGCAATTCACACCTGAAATAAAAGGTTAAGGTTGTTTTCCCTTCCCAAAAGGAAAATCAGTCTGTTTAACCTAATCATATCATGGTATTTCAAACGAGGCATTTTTTTTCTTTATCTCTGAATAATAATGTGCATTGCTAATAAAGGAAATTTCAAATTTTAATTAAAATATGAACAATAAATTGAGCGAAAAAAGCAAAAAAAAAAAAGCAACAACCACAACTAGAACTGAAACGTTCTAAAATGTTAACCAGACGGTTGCAATAGTAAATTGTAAGTCGTGTGTCATGTCGATTCAGTTGAAATAACAATGAAATTAAAATGAAGTGTAACAATCGATCGCATGTCTACAACTTATGATAATCGAATTCGTTTGCCTATTCATCTTAAAGCGCCAACTTGTTGCTAAATTGTTAATGCCACCGTGCGTCTCGATTGCGATTATTCATTGCTGTTGCATCGTTTGTGTTGTTGAAAGGAAAAATTTGCAAACATTTCATGTCTCATCAGAGAAGAGTGGAGAAAACATAAACAATTAGCTGAATTATAAATCACGAACCCACACACAAACACGGAGCAAACGCAAATTAGGTCTTTTTGTTATAGCATAGCGTTCATTCGTTCGTCTAACATGAACAGCATTATCATACGATGATATTGGACTAAATTGTTGCGAAAATGCTTAGATTTCGCTGTTCTTTTTTTCATTCGCACAATGCATTTTTTTCGGATTTTGCTATTGAACCAATTCTGTGCGTGCGTTGTAACAATCGTCTAAGGCTCATTGAGCTCGGTCAGCTCAACAGATGTTTGATTTCATGACGATGAACATGAAATTTTAAGTAAATCATAATGCAGTTGATTGATGCATTATAATGAGGATGCAAAATCCAATTAGTGTTAACCATTTCGATTGGAATTGCAGGCCCGCCTTTTCATTGTTTTTTCTTCATCAAATCCCGTTAATTAATTCGGTTTCGATCATACACATCGATTGAATGATTGAAAATGGAGGAATTTTGAAGTAAAATCATTTGAATTGCAGATAAATCGAATTGAAATAGAAAAAATTTTAGAATCTAGACTCTAGATTCTAGAGTCTAGAGTCTAAATTTCACGTAGTATTAGGATTTGCAGATTTACAAAGGATAGAACGAATGGGATAACACGAAACAGCATAAAACGAATGGGATGGAAATGAAAAAAAAGCCTCATCTACGTTTCACATTATGAAAAATTCCAAGTTTTCTAATTGTTCGACAATTCACAAAAATCACCCATTTGAAGAAAATCCCCATATTTATCTGTGAATGCGTGATGAACATGAAGATTCGACTCAGACAGAGTGTCTATCAGTTGCCAATTATAATAGGTGTCAAGTTCATGTATGGTTTGAATTTATGAATTGCGCACGTAAACGAACTCAAAAACACAGAAAAAGAAGAAGAAGAAAAAAAAAACAAAGCACCGAAACACGAAACGTCACAATTCGCAGGAAATTTTTCTGTTCGTTCATGCCGCCGCCGTGTATAATTACATCTTTATTTAAAAAAATTTGGTTCAAGTGCGTCATTTATTAAGAAAAACAAAAAATCGCAAGATCTGTATCGCTGGGTGTTTTCTCTTGCGAGAAGTATTTTAGAATTTTGATGAGAGTTTATTATTAATAAGTTGGTTAATTTTTTAATAAATATCATTAGTTGCGATAATTGTGCATAAATGTTTTGTGTAAATTCTGGGTGAATCGCGATGCATTTGCCGGCAATGTTGTCACACAATTTGTTCAAGCTAAAAATACGATCTCTTCAATTTGAAATATTAAAATAACCTGAATGATATTCATATTTCTTTCTATTTTACGTTGTAAATAATTTTCTCTTCGATTTCATCATCGTGCTGTTTCTTATCGCTTCGCTTGTACACATGCGATCGGTTTGATTCTTACGCGTATTATGCAAATGAAATGACTAAAATGAAACACTGCAATGATAAGAATACGACAATCAAAACCTGCTTACCCGTATGCAAATATTGTAACTGAGCAGTCAGTCAACTGATTTCAGACAAAAATGACTTTCTTTGATTGACATATCAGTACAAAGTGTAAGTCTATCATAGTAAACTGAAATCATTTGAAGTTACAAGTAAATCTTATTTACTTAATTTGGGACAAAGTGATTTTCTTAGGACAAA